CAGATAAGGAAAGTTACCTGCCCAAGGACACGGGGCCAGATAGTGGCAAAGCTGGGACATGTCCCCAAGTCCCCTGACCTCTGGCCAATGCCCCTGCCCCTGCCCAGGATGCCTGGGAATTTACCTCTCAGACCTCACGCCTGAGCCAGCTGCGAGCACAGCCACCCCCGGCTCTGCAGTCCTGGTGACATGCAGGACCGTCCTCGTGCCCCCGGCCCTCAGCCACACTTCCCTGTCCTTCACTCCTCGGGAGCGGGCAGGGTTCCCTCTGCCCTGCTTCATGCCCGAAGTCACCCCATTCCTACAGCTGCTCATTTTTTTCCTGTTAATTTTTATGACTGCTGCCGAGAACAAATGCAAAAGAAAGGCAGAGACTCTTGGAATTTTACTCGTTGCATGTTTTCATTTTTAATTAAATAAGTCAAGTAAGCCATCGAGTGATGGGTTCACATTCTCTTCCACAAAGCAGACCCCGACCGGCGCTGGCTGCCAGCTCTGAAGGGCGGCTCCTGTGTTTCCAGGAGACGGCAGATTGTGTGTAGCCACGGCAAGGACACTGGTGGCAAGGGGGCAGGGAGCAATGTGGCCGAGTAGAATGAGCTGCATGTTACACACACACAAACATGTGGACACCTATGTACACACCATGGCCACACATGGCCATGAAGGGAGTGTCCTGGACCATGTGGCCTCGAAACATGACACAGGGAGAGGTCTTGGCAAAAAGGCAGAGTTTGCAGGATCCAGGAGGGAGCAGGGGAGCCGTGCAGACTTGGCCTAGAATTTACAGCTGAGATGGAGACTTCAGGGGGTGCCCAGGCCAAGCCCAGGGTGAGAGGAAGCAGAGTACATGGGTCATTTCATTTTCCAGGCAAAATACCTGAGCTACAATATGAGCGAGGCTCACGCGGATGGCACCATGGAAACACGTAACTGACTAGTCCCCTGGGCACAGTCATCAAATGACAAAGGACACAAGATCAAAGGACCTCGAAGCTTTTAAGAAAACTGAAGTTGGCAATTGTGCTTCGTCCTTTTGAGGTAAAGAGTTTTGACTAGTCCTGAAGCCGCGACCGCTGAGAGGCAACGTGGCTGCACTCAGGACACCTCGGGCCTCCTCCCTCCCGTCCAGCTGGACCACATCCTAGGAATCCTCACAAGCAACTCAGCCACCTGAGCCCCTGGACTGCAGTGGAGGCTCCTTCTCTCCATTTGTGCAGATCGACAAGACCACTTGGCCGCTACAGATCCATCTCCTCCCCTTCTCTCCCCTTCGCTCTCCCTGACCAAGCTCCCACCCTTCTGTCAGCCTGTGGGGACTGGAGTGGGAGGGCACTGCCTTGGGGACACAGCCACCCAATCTTCTGCTCCTGTCCTTCATTATCCAGGGCCTACCAAGGGACAGGCCATAGGGCCCATTAAATCAGACCCTTGTGTGGGAGAGGGTCACCCAGGGCCGACGAGACCTTCAGGGTCAGGACCATCCGATGCTTGCATCTCCTGTCTGGGCCAAGCAGGCAGCTTCTGGGTCAGGGACCCGAGATTCTGTTGGCACCGGTTCCCTGGTTGGGCAGATGACAGAGAAAGATGCACTGTAATGGGCCGAGTGGGTGTCTTCTGTTCTTGGGGGTTTGGCCAGGGGCTGCCCCATTAGACCAGCCTCTGGCTGAGGGCGCTGGCAGATAGGGAGTAAACTCTTCATTAAATACTTTTTTCTGTTCATTTCGTTATTTATTTTCAAGTGTGTGCATCACATAAAGTGACAAAGGGTAGAATTTAGTCACGTCTCTCAACCTTAGCTCGGTAATAACCTGCAGGGGGCGTGACAGCGCTGCACACGGCTCCCTTCTCCCTCTTGCTGGGGCCACAGGACTCCTGCCCCCACCGTCCGCTCCCCGGTGCCTGCCTCCACTCCAAAGCTTACAAACAGGCACAGAGAAGCCAGGAACGGGCAGTGGTGGTGATGGCTTGCGGGTGTTAGACACTGCCCTGTCTCACCAAGGCCTGGAATGTTCTGAACTATTTATATAGGCCAGGCTAAAGAGATCTTCTTCAAGGAGAAAAAATGAGCAAATGCTCGCTGCTGAATGGGCCCTTGTTCTGAGGAAGCTGGTGGCTGGAGGTGAGGCCTCAAATGCTCCCTCTGTCTCTAGGGGGTGGAGGGGGGCTGTGGAGCGAAGGCTCCTGGTGGATCAGCAGGAGCAGAGAAACCAGGACAAGCGGGCACTGCCCCCAGCTGGACCACCGTCCCCAGCTAGTTCCTTGCTGAAAACCCCAGGGATGTGTCCCCAACCAGGTCCCACGGATGAAAAGGCAACAGTCACCCACCCTGTCCTTCCCCAAACCCCCAGGGTTCCCAGAGCCCCAAGGCAACAATGACTGGAGCTGTGTCCTGTTCCAGGCACCTGGGCAAAGGTCCGACAGCAGAAAGGGCCTTACTGTCGCATCCTCAAATCTGCAAGAGGAAACCAAGGAATCTCCTTAAACAAAAGCCTGGGCTGTCCTGACTCCTGCGGCCTTGGTGTAGTTGCCTCCTGCATTCTGAATCGTCTTGGATTGTCCCTGTGTGTGGATGAGTGAATAGTTCTTATTACTACTAGTTTGTCTCTCTTGACTTGGGTACAGCTTTGAGTCCCTGCACACAAGAAGGTATTTTCTGTCACTTCTTTTTCACAAAATAAATAAGTTAAGTCAACTTGCCGTGTACAAATTGTCAATGTCCTGAGACGTCCCAAAGGTCCACTCTCGGTACAGTCCTCAGAGCTTAGGGGTGGGGGCCTTGGCTCCGGACATAAGAAGGATGGAGAAGTCTGCTGTCCACACTAGGAGGGCCCAGGAAGGACCCTGGAGAGAGGAGCCTGCCCCCACCCCACCCCCAGGTGGGGAACAGTGTGGGGGGCAGGACAGGGGCTGGGAAGCACCACCAGCGCTTCTGGGCCTGCCAGAAAAGTCCTGGCCCCACTCTGTCCCAGGGTCAAGTTTTCAGAGCTGGAGTCGCTTTTGGACCCCAAATTAGAGCCAGATCCCTGCACGACTTATCCTTGGACTGGAAAGCCCAGAGTGGAGACCTCCTCGAGCGGCTGAAGTCCATGGTGATGCGTGCCCAGCAGCTCAGATCCGGTGGTTATAAGGGACCCCATAAGATGGCTACCATCCTCGCCTTTTCAAACGGCAGTTTCCAGCAGGACACACCTCTCCCTTCCCCACAGCAGCCCCAGCTGGACGCAGATCCTGTTTTTCCCTCATGTCCCTATTACTCAAGGAAAACTCAGCCCTCTGGGCTTGACAATGGGATGGATTGGATAGAAGTTGTCCAGGAAATCAGAAACAGCCCTTAGTGAGGTTACAGCTTCCTGCACGTTCTTAGATGGCACTGAGCTTGGCTCCCGGGTTGGGGTGGGAGTGGGGGAAGGTGTCTATTTTGCAGACATTTACTGCTTGGTCATAGGGCCTGCCCCCCCGGGAGTGTGATTGGGCCTGGGCTGAGGGCTGCTAATTTATGCTGCTTCTGGACACGCAGCGAAGAATGCTGGTGTTTTCTGAGATTTGTTTCACGTGAGTCCAAGCAGAAAAGCCCGAAGGGCACTCCAGGTCGTCCGGTGACCACCTAACTCTGATCCTTGGAGGAGGCTCTCCTTCCTCCTCCTCTCCCTCCAGCAAGCACCAGAGTGCTTCCCACTGGTCCTCCCAGAGTCCCTTCAGCCCCTCAAGCACAGACCGCTTCCAAGAGGCACTTCTGCAGAAACAAAAACACAGCCTGTCCACAAAACAAGACACCAAACCATAAATATCTTAAAAACAACACACACACACACACACACAACAGAAAACAAATACCCGGTCCATCCTGTTAAGCAACACTCTTCCCAGAACCCTAAAGGAGGAATTTCAGACACCAGCCATGCAACCATGGCGACCAGCAGGAGGCTGACTGCTGACCGCTGTCCCCTGTCTTCTCAGGAGGGGCTATCCTGATGTGACTTCTCCGACAGCACTCTGCACTGTCCCTGGGCCCTGCCCCCCAGAGGCCTGGCTGGAGCGGGCAGGACCCATGAGTTCCTTTTGCTCCCCGGGACCCCAGCTGCTTCTGCCAGTCAGGCCTGGGGCAGCCTTCGAACACGGACATGCTCCAGGACATGAGCAGAGCTGGGGTGGGAAGGGATGGGAACTTTGGGCTGCAGTCACATGAGGGTCGACCACGCCATTTCAAAACGTCCTGCCTGCCAGCAGCAAGGACGTGAATGGGCCCCGAGACTCCAAGGTGAGCAGGGGCCAGCAGACCCGGCACTGCTGTCCTCCCGTTCATCCCAAACCCAGTCGGGAAACAAGGTCACGGCCATGACCACGTTTCCTTCCCCAGCTCCCAAACAGGTGTGTGATGCAGAGGAGCCCTACCAAGCCTGTGGGCATAGAGCAAAGGGAAAGCTTGTCCGTTTGTTTTCGTGTGTGTGCAGAATTTTCTGTTTCCCAGTGTGTGCCCTGTGCCTGCGGGCATTCGTCTTTATACGTGTGTTGTAGCTCGTCACAGAGCTGACTCCATCGTTAACCGGCACAGGTGGCCCATTTATGGAAACGCTGAATGGGGAAGCCTCAGCTGCCATCCTCTAACCTCTGGGCTGTCCGTCCAGGGGGACCACCCAGAATCCATGCTGGATTGTAGGAATCCGGACTGTGGGGCTGTGGTCTGGCCCACAGGGTCTACAGGCATTCATGTGTGCTTCATGTATGTTTCTGTGTGAGTGAGAGAGAGAGAGAGAGAGAGAGAGAGAGAGAGAGAGAGAGAGAGAGTCAATAGGCGAGAGCCTGCCCCTCAGGTCTGGGCTGATGGCTAGCACAGGGCAGGGCACCGTCCTGTTCTGGGCAGCAGCCCCAG